GAAGCCTCATTATTAATCACAAATGCGGGTCCAAACGAGATCATAGTCATAGGAGGAAGTCTTCTATCTTATTACTTTCATTTTGTTTCAGTAACATAATAATTCTGCTAAAGGCAGAGATTTTCCCAGTTTAGTTTCCCATTCCATCATCAGAGTTGGTTATCAGAATACTTAAAGAAGAGAAGTTTATACAAATTACGAAAACCAGGAGTAACTAGGGAAGGGATATCCACCAAAAGAACAGCAGTCATCAGCTTTCGGCTGGAACTTTGTCAAACAGCACTCTTGCCAAGAACCATGGAACTCTTGGAGCCAGCAATCCAGGGTTTGTAAGACCTGTGGGCACTGTTTGGGTTGACTTTTGGGACCCAAGAAGGCTATATTTTTCTGGTCCTTGCTTCCCTTTTGCTCTGAGGGCCTGTCTATCCTGCAGGTGACTACACTGCCTGGTGTCCAGGACCTGTTCTGGTTCCATGTGTGTTTGGGACTTTGTTAACAATGGCTAAGGGACAGCAAAGAGTGGGCTGCATTTTAGTTTTGGAAATAAATGCTTCAGTGACTTGCCTTGTTTCAGATCAGCTTCCATGTTGAGACAGCTGGGAGGGACAGCTGGTGGGACATGCTGGGGTCTGAGTGTCACTGGGACAGAAAAAAACTGATGGCAGCATGCCCTCTGCCCACTACTGGTCACTTGTCCCCATCATCTCCAGCTGATGATAACTATCACAATCTGTTTCTGCCACTTGCAGCAGTGCCTCCCAGGCAATTGGGTAGGGCTAAGGGCTGGAGTTTTCCATCTCGTAATATAAGTATTGTCTTTAGGGCAACAAAGCCTAAATTGCTTACTGTATGAACCCAGATTTAGCCTTTAATAGAAACAGTGACTTGGGACTTTGAGGTATTTTCTTTTTTACCTATGTATGGCACATGTAAAACCACTAAATGTTATCAAAGTGCATTTGAAAAAGAAGACTAAGAAAAGATGTTGAGACAAACAGTACAATGCTGGTTAATGCATGTGCCCCTTATTCTTTGTGAATGTGTGTTGTGTATGCACGCATGTGTGTGCAAGTGCACGCAGAGGCCAGAGGAGGATGTTGGGTATCTTGTGCTCTCATTTTCTGCCTTATTCCCTTGAGACAGGGTCTCTCACTGAACCGGGAGCTAGGCTGGCAGCCAGCAAATCCCAATGATCCTCCTGTCTCTAGCAGAGCACTGAGATTCTAGACAAGTTTGTGTGACCACAGGTGGTTTTTCACGTGGGTGCTAGGATCCAATCTCAGGTTGTCCAGAAAACTCTCTTACCCACTGAGTCATCTCCCTAGTCTCCTGCTCCCTAGTCTTCACTCCTCATTTTCCTTGTGGTATATCTCTCATCCTAAAGCAATAAAAAGTTTTTTGGTAACTACAAGCAATGTTACTTTGAAGGTTTGGATGGGCATTTTAGGGAAACATAGACTGTATTGGCATTTTGAATGCTCAAGGTGGTTAAGACATGCTGTTGCTGGCTGTGAGCAAGCTTGTCTGTGAGGGAAAAATGAGAAGCCAGGCAAGCCACTGTACTTCCAAATTCACTTATTAGTTTTTCCATTGATAACATGCAAGAGGCTCTCAGTCCCACTGTGCGGTACTTGTAATGTTCATTTGGAACTCAGTTGTTTGGAATGTGTGATAAAACAGGAGAATTTAATTTACTGCATTTCATCCATATACAGCAAAGTAGCAGACAGCAAAGATGTTACTCTAGTAATAATAGCAAAGATGACTAAAGTAATGCATCATTTCATTATTTCTGAGTTAGGCTCCTCAGCAACCTTGTGAAGCAGAAACCACATGCAACAGAGAAGCAGCTGCAGTCAGTGGTCGAGGATGTCACGCACCTGATGGAGATGTGCTGCCGTGCAGAAAAGAGAGAAACATGTTTTCACAAAGAGGTATCCCTGTTATCACAGTAAACGGAGGAGAGTTGATGCAAGAAAAACCTTTATCCCATGGCAACTATGAGCACATTAGAAGAGAACTCACAGTCTAGAGGGATTGGAGTAGCTTTCTATGTTTGGACTTCTGGCATCTTAATATTTATGTTTATTTGAAGGAACTGGGATTAGACATGAGTAGAAATGGACACAATAGTATGACACAGATGAGGGGCTGCTTAGAAGGGTGAACCAAAGACCTGTTGTAACTGTAGGGAAATGCTGCCCTTGAAAAAATACAGAAAAATTTAAAAATTAGCATTTTAAAAATTCGTTGGAGAAAACTGTAGGATTTTTGTTCTAGAAATTTCTGGGGCACAATCAGAAGAGTCACCCAGTGCTGTTTGGGAGCACAAGCTGAGAATCAGTTTAAAAAGGATTTTATTTTCTGAGTGGGCAGTTCATGGAGGGAGGGGTTGAAGAACACAGAGGAGAGAAGCGCAGGACCAGGGTGTGTGTGTACACATGCCAAAGTAACCCAGGAGACCGATTTTCTATAATTAATGTAATTGTAATTAAGAAGTGATTTTTCATAGGATTGTATAGTTGTGCAACTCAGTTTCCTGAGAACATCATGGTAGGATGTGGCTCAGCAAATTTCTGTAAAGTCTTGGAGAGGAATCAACAGGAGACCTGAATGGACAACTCATCTAAGGACTTGACTCAGGGCAGAATTTAGATATACGAGGTAACAGAGTCTATATAGAAGCCTGCGAGTATGTAGCTTAAAAACAAGCATCTCTATGCGTTGGCAAGAAAGGCTGGGGCTGGTTAGAACTGGGCTGAAGTTTAGCAATGGCCCTGGGAAGTATCTTCAAAGATAATAACTCTCATTATTGCTTTAACTGCTTACAGTGGCTCCTTTCTGCTGCTTCTCTGAGCTTATGCTTCCCATAACAATCAAGCTTTCTGACAATGGGGTTATGTGCTGATAGATCCACTGTAAGTTGATAAAAAATCATCAGTGGAAAATGCATTCAATACACTTACAGAGCAGCACAACCTAGCAGCACTATGTATTGTTGCATATGGTTCTTGATGGTCCTATGTGGCTGATGAGGAGCTGTGGGAAAAAACCCCTGAAATCATAATCATTTACTAAATACAGTATAGCCAGGAGTAGGCAAGCTGAAGCAATTTCTTAATTAAATAGTTAAAAAGGCCAAGTATTGTTCCCTTTTGGGATTCCTCCTCCAAATTAGAGGAAGAAATAAAAGTTATCAGAATACTGTAGTATACTAGTTGAAAGTTGTTAGGATTTTCAGACAAAATGTTAACTCTAAAGTCTGGCCAAGTTTACTTGAATTGATTATTCCAGCAATGATTCTCAGATTTTAGCATGCATCAGAATCAGCTGGAAGGATTCTAGAGCAAAAAGAGTGTGCTCACCCATAGAGTTGATTCAGCAGGTTTGGGTGGAATCTGATCATTTACGTTTCTAACAAATTTCCAGGTGATGCTGCTGGTCTGGGAACCACACGTTAGGAACAATTTTTCTGAGGTGAAGGTGTATATTTCCCTAACCCTCCCAATATTTCCATACATCTGACTTTTGAAAAGCTAAAACAAAGGATGGTAGCAGAAATTAAGAAACCACTGGACAATTACATAATATTAAAGAAAACGAGAGAATTGGGAGATACTCAATATGAGTAGAGGAAGACTAGAATATTTTAAAGTAAACTTTGTGGTGAATGAAAGGGTTTGCTAAAAAGGGAAGAATTAATCATGGAAATACTTTGGAATCTTACCATTAAAAGTTTATGCCTCTAGCTTCTATGTTTGTGGAAGGATTCTGAGTTTGACTGGAGACAAAGAATAACACCCAGGAGCTTCCCAAAGGTCTTTGTGGATCCAAGATTCCAGAGGTGAGAGGACTCAGCCTGCTGGCAGCCTGAGGAGGCTCCCAGAGCCACAAAAGACTAGCTGTAGGGAGGACCTGCAAGGCATTTGCTTTGTTTGCTTTCCTGAGACTGCAACTGTCAGTTATGCAAACCTGTTCTGCCAGTTAAAAGAGAAAGTGGGCAGGCTTGAAACCCTCCTTTCTTGCTATGGCTAGTGAAAAGAGAAAGCATTTTAAGAAGTGAGCCCTAAACAAAGGAGATTTCTAAGGAGGAAAAGGAGAGCCAAAGTCAATGTCAGAATGTTGACCAGAGTTAGAAGAAAACATAATGAAGAAACAAATAGAAAACTCAGTCTATTTTTGCTACACAGAATAGCCTAGTGTGTATAGCTTGTTCGTTCACCTACATACACATTACGGTGAATCTGGACCCGCCAAAGAAGAGGGTTTCACATTCCAGGAATTGCAATCATTAGCAGACCCAAAGGAGAAGATTCTATTCACACAAGTTCTCTAGTCCATTCATAGGAAATTCTCTGTATGAGGAATGATCCCTACGGTCCTATCATCTAACACAATATGAGAACAGAACAAAGTTTCCATGAATTAACAGAAGTTCAGAGGGTTTGACATGATGGTTATAAAACAGTATGAAATTTAACAAGAAAGGTCAAGCTTTGCTGTTAGATGTAGTACAACACAAGTTAATATGAAAAGAATCTATGATTTTAATAGTCTATACTTATAATATTCCCAGCTTAATGAGTCTGCTGTCAAAGCTGCAGCAATTGTGTGAAACAATTATGGAGAAAAACTACAATATGATTAATCAGGATGATAATATAAATATATATTGATCAGGTCACACTGAATTACTGACCTCAGTTTCTATTGATAAGCTACATAAGTTTGAAAATTATGTAAGTAGTACAGAATATGGTTCATAATAAATATTCAAACAGAAGAGCGGGGCACATTCCCTATTTCTAAGAGAAAATTAATTTTAAGTCTTCACTTTACATTCTCCTGTGGTTATAATTCCATAATAGTTTTAAGAAATATAATTTAATTAATATAGCATACATACACTTATTTTGACCCCTCTACCTGCAGATTGTCTTTTTTAGTAGAAGTAATATTATTCCTTTTATTGGTTATATCCTATTTCCTGATCCTTCAACTTCCCTTCAGCATCTATATAATGATTCTCCTAAACTCAATTAACATGTCCAAACTTCCTTTAGTTTCTGTGCAATCTTTCCTGTCTTATTACTTCTTTTGAAAGGTGTATCATTACTTTTGCATTGTCTAGGTTTATAGAAACTATGTTGTAACTGTAACATGCAAGCTCCCTGTCAATAAGTTGTTGCTAAACACTGGAAAGTGATAGTCTATTCCATAGCAAATTTATTGGAAATATTAGTTACAATAGCACCAAGAATGGGTTGACCTGGAAACAGATGTTATAGATATCACAGCTCAGTGAAATCTCATATGTTTTGTAACCTACTATTAACTGCATAAAATGGTGGCCCATCAATTTAGTTTTGTTTTTGAGCTGTGATTTCCTAACTCATCCTTCCTTTCTGAGAGCATTTATTGTCTCTGTTTCCCATGTTTACAATGCAGAAACACCTGTACTTTTAGCACACCACTGAAATAGTGCATGCTTTTACTTATATAATTTCTGTGATAGAATGTGGCATCATCTTGATGTGATATTTTGAAAAATCCCCTGGCTTTCTCTTTCAGTTGGACTGAGTTAATTTTAAACCTGATTCCTGGCTGACCTCATGGGATGTCTTCTCAGTGCAGTCCTCAGTTTCTTTTTCCCATGCTATACTCTTCCTTGAATTGTTTAAAGTTTTTCTAAACTTATGTCTATCAGTGTGAATATACTATTGATAAGCTACTCTTTTTACCTTTTTTCAAAATGACTGCCTGGGAGAAAATAATTTTGTGTCTTTGGTTTTTATTTTTATTTTTATTTTTTTGTGGTATTACTGATTTAACCTAAGGCCTCATATATGCAAGTGACCTACCACTGATCTATGTCACCCATCTCTTTTTTAGTTTTTAAAAAATTTGATATAGTATCTCTTTAAATTGCCCAGATAAGTCTTGAACTTGCAATCCTCCTGCCTCAGCCTCCTGAATGCTAGACTTATAGGCTGTGCCACCACACTTGACATTTGCATTTTCAAAGATTATTTTCTGCAGATATTTGCATAGTATTTTTGCTGATGTGCCAGTAGAAGAAGTCCTGTAGTTGTAAATAGTAGAATTAAATTCTGGTAACCTAAGTGAGAACAAATTTATGGAAGGAAATTGATGGTTTCAAGACTCTTTGGGAAGCCAAGTATGATAGTACAAGCTTGTAAATTCTAGCACTTGGCAGTGCGAGGCAAGAGGATCCAGTTTCAAACAATCCTCAACTGTACAAGGAAACCCTGTCTCAAAAACAGAAAGGAAAGAAGGAAAGACCTGTGAGAAGTGTGTAGAACTGGGTGTGGCACTGGACGTAGAACTCAGAACTCAGAACTAGACGTAGCTCAGAACTTGGCAACTCTGTGGTCGGCCTTTGGCTGCTGAAACACCTTTTCATGTTGCTGTTTTGAGCTCCTTTCTCCACTTTCATATATTGGCCAGTATTATTCACAACTGCTTTTTAAAACCAAGATTAGCTCTTACATGGATGCTTTTCTAGTTTTGAAATCATTGGTAGGATTTTGTATTCCTTTTGTAATTTTTATGTTCGACTATGATATCAGAAATGATGGGAAACATGTTTGTTAATTTATTTTGGGTTTTGTGTGCGGTATGTGTGTAGGTATGAGCCTATGAGCACACGTGCAGAGGCCATAGGAAGATGTTCTGCAGTATCCCCATGAGATAGGGTCTCTCCCTAAACCTGGAGCTCAACGTCTGGGCTAGGCTGTCTGGCCATCCAGTTCTAGGAATTGACCTGTCCCCACTCAACTGTATCTGCTCTCCAGTGCTGGGGTTACAGGTATGCACAACCATGTGCAGCTTTTAAGTGGGTGCTGGGGATCCAAACCAAAGACCTCTCCTCACGCTTGCACGGCAAGTGCTCTTACCCACGTGCCATCTTCCCAGCCCTGAAAAGATGCTTTAAAAGGGTCTCAGCAAATTGTTATGTGTAGGGAATATGCAGAATGGAGAAAGGATTGATAACCATGTCACAAGGGATGCAGAAGGGTAGACAGACAACTAATGCTTATCACAAATCCTAGTGCTACGTTCCGCAGTTCCCTAAGACCTAGCATCTTAGGAAATCAAAGAGGTCAAAGAGGGACAAATCTTGACACTGTAAGGATGATGCTTCCTATTTCTCTTCTGTCTTCCACATCCTATCTTATGAGCCCATGTTTTCTGCTTTTTTCATATATTTCAGAGAGGGTGTCATTTCATAGCCCAGCTTCCTTGAAGCTCATTGTGCTTCTCAGGCTGACCTTGAATTTGTATTGATCTGTTTACCTTAATCTTAGAGATGCTGGGATTAAGCCCAAGTGGATCACCATGCACCCGAACAGTGCTTCTTTAACGGTCTGGTGTGAGTTTTATCTCCAGCTGAGCACTTTCTCAGCTCATCCAGGGCCAGCCTCCTGGTTCAGATTCTTTTTAGGTGTGGGACATATCTCAGTGATGGAGTTTGCTTAGTGTGCACAGGGCTATGAGTTTAAGCCATAGTACCACAAGTGAACTAATAAAATGTTTTTTCCTAGATGCCTTCCTCCTACCTCACCCTAGCCAGAGACACATTTTCACACATTGATTATCATAACAATTACAGTTTACCAAGGAACTGTGAATTAAATGAGGTTGAAAAACCTGGATATGGAAAAGACTATATTACTATCAGTTTTGGAAAAAATGAACAAGACTAAATAAAGTCTTGGGTTAAGCTTATGGGGTAACTTCCTATGAAAATTGACTTTAAAAGTCATGAGCTATGAAAGAAACAAGGATCTCAAACTCCAGAAGCATTGTTCGAAGCAAGCCAAAAATATTTCTAATCTACCTGAATGGTAGTATGGTTCCATTTGAGGAGGGACTAAATCAGTGGCCCTCTAACCATCTTCCAAAGACTCTCAGGAGCTCTTAGGAATGCCAGTCAGCTCCCCCTCACACATGTGTACATGTGGATGTGTGAGTATATGTGTGTGCAGGTGTGCATGTTTATGTGTGTGAGAATGTATATATGTCTATGGGTGTGTGTCTATTTATGGGTGCATGTGTGTGTGAACATACCTTAGCAGTTGCATTCTAGGAACCCTTTCCTCTATAGTTCAAGAAGATTTCAGTCGTATCTATATATCTGTCTGGGCTTCTACTAATTACTTTTTTTTTCTTTATTTTGGTCTTTTTGAGACAGGGTCTCCCTGAAGCTCCAGCTGGCCTGGAACTCACTGTATAGACCAGGCTGGTCTCAAACTCACAGAGATCCGTCTGCCTCTGCCTCCCAAGTGCTGGGACTAAAGGTGTGCGTCACTGTGCCCGGCTCTACTAATGACTTTTATTTGAATAAAAACCATATACACAGAGTTGGGAAACTGGAGTTAATAGACAAGTTTGAGTGTGTGTCTTGGGTGGAGCTTCTCTAATTCAGTAATAGTTGTGTCATCCCTCCTGATGTCCAGTATGTGGTACAGGGGGAATCAGTGTAGCCTAGTCCTCAAATTGATGAGAAGCTGATGCTGAAGAGGTGTTCTTATCCTGCAGCAAATGAGCCTAACCATTTTGGGACTAGGAAGCAAGTATTCCAGACCTGATATTCTGAAAGTGGGAAAAGACTTAAGACCTTCAATTAATTGAGTCTTTTAAGGACTAGACCAGTGGGAAAGTCTCAAGCCTTGAAGAAGAGATATAGTGGAGGTCATCTCAGGCATCCAAATCAGAAGCATGAAGACTTCTATTTAGGGATCATAGTGGTTTTGATTCTTCCTCCCCTCTTAATAATTATATTTTTTTCCTCTTAGGGGCCCAGACTCATCACAAAGTGCCAATCTCTCTAGGAAGGCTAAATTACACCAGAACGTACCAATGTAGGATCATCACCGAGATCAGCAATATAGAAAATAATGATCAACAAAATAATTTTTTAGCTCCACAGTGTTGTACAGGAACACTGGTCAGTCTACGCCAAGTCTCTCCTGTTCAGCAAACTACATACTGGCTCCCAGACACGCCCCCTTCAGGGCTTTTTCCTCCACAAGCTCTGCCTCTCAAGAGCAGCAGCACAAACCCAGAGGACTTTCCAAGGCCTAAGGCTGATGTAATGTGTGGCCACATCTTGCTGGAAACTGGCAGCTCAGTCCCCACAGTGAAGCCCTCAAGGGCAAAGGGAAGCTGTCTGTGCCACTACTGTAAATGACCATTGATGAACTGAGGGGAATGTGCTTTCTAATAAAGACACCTTTCTAACTGCGACTGGGCTCTGTTCTGTCCTGTATGTACAATGTTGACATCATCAGCAACTGCTCCCAATGTGTTGGGCATTAAGTGATGACTAGTCTTCTCTGGAAATTCTGCTGTAAATAACAAAAGAATGTATAATTGGACTTATTTTTACTTTTTATAGATTCTTTTATGTAATAAAATAAGCAATAATAGTTTAGTGCTTACTAAACAAATGAATTATTTTGATTAGAGAAATAAAGAAAAAGTTAAAATTCTTACTATTATTCTCTTTACTTCACTTTAAAAAATATTTTATTATTTTTATTTCGTGTGTATGAGTGTATTGCCTGCATGTAGGTAAGTGCACCCATGTCATGCAGTGCCCATGGAAGACAGAAGAGGCCGTCAGATCCCCTGGAACTGGAGTTACGGACAGTTGTTAGCTGCCATGTGGGTGCTGGGATTTGAACCTGGGTCTTCTGCAAGAACAACCAGTGTTCTTAACTGCTGAGCCATCTCTCCAGCCCCTTTACTTCACTTTAAAAAATATTTTATTATTTTTATTTCGTGTGTATGAGTGTATTGCCTGCATGTAGGTAAGTGCACCCATGTCATGCAGTGCCCATGGAAGACAGAAGAGGCCGTCAGATCCCCTGGAACTGGAGTTACGGACAGTTGTTGGCTGCCATGTGGGTGCTGGGCTTTGAACCTGGGTCTTCTGCAAGAACAACCAGTGTTCTTAACTGCTGAGCCATCTCTCCAGCCCCTTTACTTCACTTTAAGTGATTGTTTTTCCCACTCCAGCAGCACCAGCATGTTCCTATACATTAGCAACATTCACATTTGCTGACTATCCCTGCATTCAGCACATTGTGAAAAATATCGCAGTCAGGGTTGGAGAGATGACCGAGTGGTCATGAGCACATACCGCTGTTGCAGAGGACTTGAGTTCAGTTCTCAGCACCCACAATGGGTGGCTCACGACCACCTCTAATTCAAGTTCCAGGGCATCCAATGTCCTCTTCTGGCCCCCGTGGGCACCTGCACTCATATGTGAACAGACTCATACATAGACCCATGCACATACACATAATTAAAAAAAACTGCACAGGATAATATAAAAGTGAATATAGTAAGACCAAGTCACTAATGAGTTGATCTAAAGAATTATAATAAAAGGTAATCATCACATTTCTGGTGTTTCAAGAATGGAGCAAATGGAGATCATGGGCACAGGGCTTTGAGATCACACAATGTAACGAGAGCAGGAAAAGTCTCCAAACAAGGGAGCTCAGAACCAGACTGTGGGAATGGCTTCAGGCAGAAAAGCACTGAAGGTGGTTTAGGGGTGTGAATGATCCATTTGGCTGTTTTGTGTGTGTGTGTGTGTGTGTGTGTGTGTGTGTGTGTGTGTGTGTGTCTGTAGGCACATGTGCAGCATGGCATGTATGTGACAGAGAACAAGCTCAGGTGTTGGTCCTCGCCTTCCACCTTGTTCTGCCTTGTTTGGCCACTGCTGAGACCAGGTTAACTTGGCCATGAGCGGCTGGTGATTCTTGTCTCCACCTCCTGTTTGAAGGTACACTGGGATTACAGATGTGTGCTACTTTGGCTTTATTTTGTTCTGGGATCTAAACTTAGGTCCTCATACGTATGCAGCAAGCTCTTTACCCACTGAGCCATCACCTCCACCCCAATTTGGCTGGTTTTAAGAGAAAAGAAGTAGTGTAGGCAATAAGAAGGGAAGGAAAAGGCTACAGTGAAGGGTGGTGATGGTGACATGTTAATTTACTTATACATACCTTTTCTCACATACTTCTTATATGCAAAGTACAAGCATTTGTATGTGTTATTCATATAACTTCCATAACTTTCCGATGGAGTAACTACACCCAGCCCTACTCATCTGCTGCTGGTTTTGTACCTGTGGATTTGGCTAACTGTAGATTAAAGATATAAAAACTATGACCATGCTAAGCATGTACAGATGTTATTCCTTGGCATCATTTCCTAAGCAATATACTGTAGTAACTATATACATATCATTTACACTGCATTAGGTACAAGAAATTGAGAGATGACAAAGTATTGGGGAGAATGAAGGTTACATGCAAACCGTCCATTTTACAGGAGGGACTTTAGCATCCTCAGCTTTTGATGTCTGAGGAGAGTCTTGGAATCAATCCCTTAAAACTCATGCTGTTAACATCCATGATGAGGTTATCCATGAGTTCAATTTTATCTGTTTCTTCTGTTTAACTTCTCAGCAAATCTCCTTTCTTCACCCATAAGATGGAATTAAAAGAATAATTTCTTCATGGGATCCTAATGATCATTAAACTATAATCATAATGATCATTTACTATAGGTAAAGCAATGCATTGCAAAAGGTAACTGGTACTATAATTATATGAAATTTCACATTTTTAGATCAAATATTGGCAACATTAGTGGCGCAGTCTACTACTGATATTAAATACTACTTGAAGTACAAACGGATGTCACTGAAGGTTTTTGTCTCCTTAATTGAATCCCCTTCTGTATTTGTTTCCCAAATACACACTTCAACCTAATAGTTACTCCTGATGTCTTTTCCATTTCACCAGCTCCTTTGCAAATGGAATTATTTTGCCTTAAGTTCTGAAACAAACTGAACAGCCCTAAACTACATTTCATAGTAATGCTGGCTAACTGAATATGTCATAGAATCATGAGCTAATAAAATACTTTGATGTTAAAGCCATATAGCAAAATTTCTAGCTAGTGGATCAGACTTGTGAAAAAAGACATATCTATAGGAGATCTTATATGATATTTCAGATAATTTACTAATTCATTAATTCATAATTTAACTGATTTTTATTGAGCACATCTTATACACAAGACATATGAAGGACAAAAATCATACAAAGATAAATCTGACAGGTTCTCTATCATTAATAACTATAATATGGGGGCTGGAGAGATGGCTCAGTGGTTAAGAATACTGGTTGTTCTTGCAGAAGACCCTGGTTTGAATCCTAGAACCCACATGGCAGCTAACAACTGTACATAACTCCAGTCTCAGGGGATCCAACAGCTTCTTCTGACCTCCACGGGCATTGCACGATATGGGTGCACTTACCTACATGCAAGCAATATGTGCATACACATTAGAAAACTAAATTAAAAAATAACTATAATATGATACTCA